TGCCCAATCCAAATTCTCGTCACGCCACCCTCTCCAGCATTGTCGGGAATCAAAATCTTTCCGCTGGATAGAGCATTGGTTCGATCGAGCAGCCCTGCGAGGCCCTCGAGAGTGCCTGTATCGTGGCAAAGCGGGTCCTCCTCAAATCGCTTGCAGACCGCTGGGTCGCGTGAGATGAGTTTCGAGTCGAGCTTGTTGACCATCTGGCGTTTGCCCGCCACTTTCCCAGCCAGCCTGCCGAAGAAGACAGTAACGGCAGACGGCTTGGATTTGGGGTCAAAGTCAACAAATGGTGACTCTAGGAGGTAGCCACGGATGTGCTTGCGGACCTCGTCAGGGCCATGGGCCGCATAGCACAGCGTCTGGCCTCCGCCCATGGAATGGCCCATCATAAAAAGGGGCGCTGGGCTGGGAGTGCTGATTACTGTCTTGATGAAGGAAGTAATGTCGTCGAGGACCTGCTCAGTTGGACCCGTGTCGCCTCGCTCAGACGGCTTCGATACCGATCGGCCCCATCCTCTGCACTGGCTTTAGGGACGTACTCAAAAATAGTGTGGACGCGTACGCACCTCTGGTCAAAGGTATAGACTTCGATGCCTTTGGCAGCGAGTCCGGGAAAAAAGTCGGCATAAGTGTTTACTTTGCTGCCTGTCAGACGTCGGTCTTGTACCAATAGGCCCGTGTAGCCTTACCGTGCTACTCATCATCTGTCAATACTGCCGTGGACGTTATCTCAAGGGTGACTATTACAACGTACATCTGAAAAGCCATGGATAAAAACCAATCTTGCCCTGGGGGGCCCGTCGGTCTGTTCAATAGATTAATGCCGATCACTATGGCGCAGGCTCCACTGTACCCTGAAGGTCTTGGTGAACAACTTCTTGCCATCGGCGAGGGTATGCGTGCCCTCGTCGACAGACATGGCGGCTGTATGCGGGTGGAGTCGGGGCAAAAAGGCAAGGCAGGAAAGCCAATGTATAGGAGGTGTAGTTGGGATCTGCGTGGAAAAAGACTATTGGGGGCGCTGGGCGATGGCTAGCAATTGGAGCTGCGCTGCGTTGTTGTCATGGCCCCGAAAGTCAGCCGCTGCGCCCGGATGCGTCATAGCTCCGGGTGCCATCCAGTCTGGCGCCCGTCAGCCACTCGGCCGCAATGAATGACCTACTCCAGTGTACTTACGCACCCAAAAGGCCGCCCAACAAGTCGAATTGCTAGCCATGGGTTGGTACAGCCCAGCATATACGACTATTATTAGTGGCCGGCAAAGCTGCCGACTTGTACCCAAGGGGTGAAGTCGGCTAGACTCAACGGCTGCCGTCCAAGCTCCTGCCCGATGGATCATCCTGCATACGCATTGGACCCCTCTTGCTGGTGTCCCCACCTACATTTTCCTCGTGCTAAGATACTTCTTCTTCCTGTTATGAACAGGCTCGCCCGCCGACTCCCGTCCCATCACTTTCCCTCGCGACTTCTCACTCCACCGAGAAGCATGCTGGGCAGCATGCCGCAGACACGCTCCGCCAAAGCGATCCTCAGCCATCAAGACCGCACCGCCAACGAACCCCGGGAGAAGGAGTTGCACACTGCTACGCTGACCAAGGTGACGCCCGTCAACGACCGTATCAAGCGCTTCGTATTCGAAATCAAGGACAAGAACGGCTTCAACGTATGACGGAATCCATCTCGCCCGCAACACATGCGCTGATGGACAAGTCAGTTCCTCCCTGGCCAATGGCTTGACGTCTTTGTGCCTGACGTAGAAAAGGCAGGCGGCTTCTCCATCACCTCTTCGCCTTCCGAGGCGCTGCCACGAGCGGACCCTGAGCACAAACCATACTTTGAGTTGGCGGTGCAGAAGAGTCCAGACAACCCTCCAGCAGCATGGTTGTGGAAGCCAGCCGAGGAAATCATCGGGGGTGAAGTCAAGGTGCGAGTGGGCGGAAGCTTTGTGTGGCCACCGCCGTGCCTTGACATGAAGAAGATCAAACGCGCCATCTTCATTGCCGGGGGAGTGGGCATCAAGTAAGTCGCAACTACCCCACACGGATTAGCTGTGCGTCTTCGGAGACTAATTCGTATGCACAAGCCCAATGATGTCAATGATGACCTATATAAACCAGAATTACCCCAACCTCGAAGTACGCTTCCTATACTCGACAAAGGTGCCATCGCGAGAAACAGATCCCAGTGAAGTGCTCTTCCTACAGGATGTGCTTGACCTCTTCCGCATACCCCGGTTCAAGGTGACCAAAGACCGACTTGAACTCTTCTTCACAGGCACGTGGGACGGGTCCGAAATGGGCACAAACGAAGGGGACCTGATACATCCGCTCATGTCTCTGACGCTGCCGCAAATTGACTCTGCCACGGAAGTACCCGTGTGTGCATGGACGCACCGCATCGACGACATAGCTCTGTCGAGCGCAGTAGGGAACCGGAAGGAGGCGCAATCGACCGTCTTCTACGTGTGCGGGCCGCCTGCCATGGCCGACGAGATGGTGGAGTTTATCAAGGGACAGGAAAACGTGGATCCGCAGAGGGTGTTGTGCGAGAAATGGTGGTGATGGGGTGGATTAGAATGGAGCCCGGCAAAGATAGTGATAGGGCCACATGTGGAAATTGTGGGGAAGGCGATCGCAATCGGGACTTGGGGAGTTTGCATGCACATGCGCAGTGGTTCCATGGCGGCAAGCGCTATTGTATGTATGTACGATGCTCACACCATTAACTGTATTTTACGCGCCCACAAAGGCCGCAAAATCGCCATGGCTCGTGATGGACGGACAGGGTGCTCCACTCTGCAAAGCTTGTTGCGCAACCCTGATTGCACATTTTGCTCTGGGCTCGCCACCAGGGCTGGGGTGGCCGTGTGGGCGCATGGTGTAGAGTAGTAGCGAGATAACAATAAGTATGCGTTGTGGCGGCACAGCAAGCGATCGCTTATGTCGACATGTCAGAGGGTACTTGGTGTATGCCGTGCAACCCCGCGGTCAAGCGCTCGAGTTCATCCGTCCTGTTATCGCGTAGGGCGAGATTGCAAAGCCCAAAACGTCGCTATTAACCCACATTGTGCGGTTGTGAGGGCAGGGATTAGCGCAAGGGACATGCTCTCTAGCTCCCGCTGACGCTGCCGTCCTGCACGCCTGATTCGCCATCACACTTTACGAGCTGTGTGATCGCGCAGCATGCGTGTGCCACTCAGCGCCTGCCATGGCTCTTTCGCCCCTCAGCTCACTACCGCCATCGGCTAGAATGGGGCCTTGGACGCCTGTTAAGAGCATTCCTCGCCCCGGACACCTGGGAGCTGATGCTGATGGCTTGACTGTGCGCCCGCGACTCGACCATCGCCGTCCACCAAGTACCACCACCACCACCACCAGAGACGACCCGTAGCAGTCTCTCGTCCCCAGCACCCGGTTGCGACGCCATTGCACCACCATACCCGTCTGCGCACTCGACCCTCATCCCCCCACCCACCCCGTCGTCATCCCTCCTCCGCGCCCTGCTTGGACCGCTCACCCTGCCCCGCCGCCATGGGCTTTTTCATATCGCGAACATGGCGACTGCCATCCATCATCTGGTTCCTCATCATCTTCGAGCTGCCCTTTACCGTCGCCAACCTTGCGCTCTTTGGCATCGCCTCGCCAAACTTGTATCGCACCATTCTGTGGAGAGAGGGCGGGCAGAAAGGCTTCAATTCGGACCCCAGCACCGTTCTCTACTCGTATGCCAACTACCGACCCGTAGAGACGCCCCTCGTCTGGAGCAGCTTGTGAGTGCTCGCACCCATCTTCACATCACCAACGTCGCCTAATAATATTCCAGCAACACGCAATACCACCTTGTCATTGGCGTTGTGTGCACCTTTTTCTGGCTTGTCAAGGTGACTCTATGGCTCCTCAAAGTTCTATACCCGATCCTGTCACTTCCCCTCCACATTGCCCTCGCCTGTCTGTGGGCATACGGAATCCATGTCCAAACCGCTCCTGACACCATCGATCCACAACGCAAGAACAATGGACCACCGTGGTACATTACAAAGAACTGCGATATTGTACAAGACAAGAACATCAGAGGCTACTGCATGCAAGCGAAGAGCAGTTTTGCTGTTAGCATCATCATGCTGTACGTCTCCTTATACCTGCAAGCAAATGTCAAATCTAACACAAACCAGAGTAATTTATTGTGTTTTTATCATCATGTCTGTCTGGTCTCTGATCCCTACCGCTGCTCAGAAAGAGGCACATGCCGTTAGGAAGGCGGAAAAGAAGGCGGAGAAGGAGAAGTGGGAATCTTCACCCTACGACAACGAAATGACGGCCGAAGAACAATGGCAACATATGTGGGAACTGCAGCAATTACCTCGTACTCCCGGCACAATTGGCGGCATGAAGTCGCCTATGACGCCACGTACCCAAGCCTTTAATAGCCTGGGTGGTGAAGAGGCGGGGCATGGCGGTTTTTATCCGCCTACAGGGCAGCATGGATGGTACGGCCCGCCGCAGCACGGCGGCGTGCCGGTGGAGACTGTCAGTCCAGTAATGGAGCACGACGAGTATCCATACGGCCATGAAAATAGGGGGAAGTCTATGGGGTGGGGTGGTAACGCGTACTGAGTACCGAGTACTTTTGTCCAAGTATTTTCTTGTGTTATATTTTGGGACACGGCGTTTGAGCGTGTGCACTTTTGAGATACCACCGGGGGCTTCGTCTTCACTCATTACTGGAATATGAGGGGCACAGAGGTAAAGGATTCAAAAAAATCCGAGATCGTTCTCAGAATGTTTAATTGAATGGTTATGTCATTATCTTTGCAGAGCACTGTGTCGTTGCCATATGTTTAGTGTGACGAGGAACATATAACACCGCGCGAAAGCATGTGTACATGCGATTGCGCTACACCTGATGCAGTACTACTGCACTTGTGCTCCACATATCGAACTTCGCATTCCTTCCGAAGATAGTGCCATCAACCCACCACCTCGCTAACATTGCCCTTCATGTCTGCCAGTCAAGGGAACCACATCGTCTGTGTGGGTGCTGTCTATATAGATACCATCCTGACGTAAGTATTAGTTTCCCATTTTAGTGTGTGTTTGTAGTAGCATTTCGCTGAAACAAAAGTGTAGTGTCCCGCACTTTCCCATTGAAGATGAGAAGTTGCGCGCTAAAAGCATCACGCGAAGAAGAGGTGGGAACACAGCAAACAGTCTGGAGGTGCTGTCACAACTGCTAGAGCACGACAGAGCCTCTGCAACCCCCCCGGTTTTGACAAACCTGCATCTGATAGCAGTACTTCCGAGCGAACAATCTGCAGCCTCCCATTTTATCTTCGAATCTCTTCCAGGTGTGAACATATCTGAGTGTAGTTTGTTCCGAACAGACCACCAAGAAGCCGCCTCTAGTTACATCATCCAAAGTGAAGCAAAACGCTCAAGAACGATTGTCAGCATCAATGAGCTCCAAGAGATGCAGGTCTCTGAATTTTGCCAAGAAGTTCAGGAGTTTACCAGAATGAATGTGGAACAGGTTTGGGAAAAGGCGTGGTTCCATTTCGAAGGGCGAATTCCAGAGGTTACACATTCCTGTGTCAAGTTCTTGCGCAAAGACTACCCCCACTTCAGAATAAGCGTGGAGTGTGAGAAGCCCGAGCGTACAGAAATGGCAGAGGTCGCAAAGCTCGCCGATGTGGTATTCTATTCGAAGCTCTGGGCAGAAAAGAGCGGGTTCACAGATGCAAGAAGCTTTCTTGAAGCACAGCGCGCAGACAAGCAGGACGGCACAATGATTTGTTGCACATGGGGTTCTGGAGGCGCCATGGCAGTCAAAAAAGGAACTGACGAGTCTTGGGCGGATGTCAAGGCATGGCAACCGCAGAAAGACGAGCCCACTGACGTTGTCGATACGATCGGTGCTGGAGACACTTTTATCGCTGGAATGCTTTTTGCTCTTAACAACCATGATGAATGGGTACTCCAGCGTAAACTGGAATTCGCAAATGAGCTTGCGGGACGCAAGGTTTTACAGGAGGGCTTCGGTAATCTGGGTGTCAAAATGTGGTAGATGGACAGCTTTTGACGCTTCAGTCAAGCCCAGACAAACCTTGCATTGGCTTCTGGAGAACGTAACTTGGCACATCCCAAGACTTTAACAGTGGTTCCTTCAGTATTTTTGAATCTTGCAGTGCCATTGGTTATTTCTTTTCAACCCAGATCGACATTCAAGTGCGGGACGAGCCTCCCGGCGCAGTGTCCGGCATGCTAGAGCTACATAACTAGCCTTGGAGACATTCGACTTTGTGGCGCCTTACCCCGCATTTTCTTTTATTAGACCGAATGTACTGGAAGACAAGGGGTGCGCTATTTTTGGTGCTGTGGGGGCTAATTGGAGATGCGGGGATCATGGCTGGTAGTGATTTAAGCAGACGATAACCCAAAGGTTCGTACACAATGAGACGACCGTATTACGGAAAACAGCTGGTATTGATTGAAGCATCATCAGGGTTCCGGTAAGACGAGCAGAATCTGTAGAGTCGTTTATGCTCAGACTATCAAGTTGAGACTGAGGGCCAAGGGTAGGCTGGCGGGGACTATGTCGAGCCGACGAGCATCAGACGGCGTCTGGTGAGGACTTGGAGATACTGTGGGTTGGACCCTAGTACCAGTATGTGTCCAAAAACTGAAAGTGCCACATGATGAAGTCAATATCGGTGTCTACTTTTCGAGTAGTCAAGATCATTCTTATGCAATACATGGGACGAACTACTTACTGAGACATGAGTGTCATTCTTCTGCGCTCCTACTTACACATTTAAATTTTCTTTCAAGAATACTAACAACCTTCAGAACTAGGAAGTCAACACCTATGAGATGCATGGGATGTGCATGGTCGCTAAGGACGAATACATACTGGTTTCGCTATTGGTGCGGCTCCCCGCATCCGCAAGAGTACCTCACGTCTGCACTTAAACAACATCACCATTCGCTCCTACGTTAGTGAGTACACGTCAAAAGCAACCGGATTTACTATAAAACTTAGACCAGTGCGAATGTGAGTTGATCTTGACATACAAAATGCGAAAACTTTACATCCTACCTTTACTAATCTTTTCATTAGCCATTCAAACGAGCGGAACAACGACTACATATCCCTCATATCAACAGGAGGTACTTCATTACTTCTTTATTTGAATCTTCCCGTTGACTAAGAACTTCCAGACTAACCCACTGACAATGTATCCGTTTGGTCAGCCGTACCCGGATGCTTCCAATGATGCGCAGTCTCGGCAAAACGAACTTTGGATGAAGATTCAGCGTGATGCTCACGAAGATGAGATTGACTTGACTGTTCTTCCATTTGCCAAGGAAGCTATTGGCAGTATTGCAGAACTGGCCGTGAAACAAGTCGATACCAAGCAGTTTGGTTTTCGAGGAGCGAAGAGGATTGATGTGCATACGCAGTGAGCTTTTTTTCCCCTCTTCTTAAACCTGTAAATGACCTGAAGAAGATGAAATAACATGAGAAATACGTCTTTAGTCCCATACCAGACTGGTTCCGAGAACTGGAGTTGAATGCAGCAGGCCGTGCGACGCCTTCTTGGACTGTGCAAGATCATCTCAAGTTCATGGACGAACATCAGATAGCACACTCGGTTCTATGCGTATCCACACCCCAGGCAAATGCGTTCTTGACCGAGACAGATGAAGACTTGAGGAAGAAGAAGACACTCGCGCTGGCTAGACTACTGAACTGCTTCACTGCGGAATTGTGCAGAACATATCCCGAGAGATTCAATTGGATGGCCATCATGCCACTACCGCATGTCCGAGAGTCAATCACAGAGCTGAAAAGAATGTTCTCAATGAAAGGACAAGAGCCCATTGGCGTAGGCGTACTTACGAACCACGAGGGCCTGTATCCCGGCGACGCAACCTTCGACCCACTATGGTCCTTTCTACAAAAAAGAGCAGATGAAGAAGGAAGAAGAGAAGTCGTGTTCGTTCATCCCACCGAACCCACCCTCAAACTCGACGACGGACGCTTGATAAACTCTCGACCCTGTAAGCTGCCCCTTCTTCCTCTCCACCACCACCACGCCGAAGAACCAAACAAACAAGACACTCCAAACTAACAAAAAATCTCACCACCGAAAAGCCCCCCTCCGCTCCGGCCTCGGCGAATTCTACTTCGAAACCGCTCGCGCAATCTCCAGCCTAACCGCCACCTCCACCCTCCTCACCCACCCATCCCTCCACTGGCGCATCTCTCACGGCGCTGGCGCCTTCCCCGACATCTCCGAACGCTTCTTACTCGGCTTCCCCGCCATCTCCTCCGCCTCGCGTCAAATCTACAAGACTCGGCTTTGGTACGACAGCGCGGGCCCCGTGTGGCCCAGTCAGATTAAAGGGTTGACCGAGGGCATGCAGATTCCCGTGAGTCAGATGGTGTTTGGGACGGATTATCCATATGGGATTGGGTTTTGGGATGTTGGGGAGAATATTGCGGGTCTGGCGCGGGTGGAGTGGTTGGGGGAGGGGGAGAGGGAAGGGGTGTTTTGGGGGAATGCGAGGGGGTTGTGGGAGGGGAGGATTTGGGAGGGTGGGGAGTGAAAGAGGGATGATAATCTGATAATTTATGTATTGGCTGATACGGGCTGTCTGAAGTGGCTAGATACAGTATGTTTGGCTCGGAAAGTGGTGCAGTAGTCATTCAAGGAGAAATCAAGGAGGCTTCTTCTGCGCTACAATCTAAAACCTCCCTCTGCGTTTCCGAAGTGGGAATAGAATTGATTTTTATGCTGAGTTGTTCTTTGTAGATCGGATGAAGGAGGGATATGCATGGGGTTTTCATACTTTGCTGGAAGGACTGCCAAAGTCCTTGTCTAAAGCTTCACTTAAAGCACGTGACCCTGATTTTCATCGCAATTACGTAGATCCAGACATTACCAATTTTCAAAAGTACGGTTCTTTTTCAACAGTTCCGTTGTAGTGCATTTCAAGTCACTTAACGCTGGAAGCTTCGGTTAGCTGCGGTTGGGTTACTAGCGTGCGGAAGCGGGTATCGTCAAGTTCTATCCATGACCCCACCGTGACATCTGCCACACTCACAACCAACACCACTACACCTTCGTACACGAAGTCGACACCGCAGCACTTCTCATTATGTGAGAAAGTTCTATTAGTCGATAACAACCCCCCAAAAATGCATAAAGCGCAGGAAACCAGGCGAGGCGCCTGATAGGCCTTACTGCGGGGAGAGCTGAATATTCGAACACGCCGGAGCGTGGAGACAACTGTAGGTATAAATAATCTCCACATATGCAATAGTAATCTGCACCCCACGATATCGGAGCCTAACTAATATATCTACGCAGGAACAGGGTGCAGGTGCATGTTGCAAGTTTTTTTTTCTGGGAGGCGTCGGGCGCGATGGCCCGAAACCTGCGCGACGAACCGGGGCATCGATTCGAACATCGCCAAGGCACAACATGGAAGAGAAGGTCAGGATGAAACAAGAGCCTATCAGTCATCATGATCGGATGGAGTCTATACTCGATCCGATCCAGCAACTGAGACCAATTGCTATGATCTCAACTTGTCGTGTTGTTCGGCAAATGTCGATGGGATGACGTTGATGACAAAAGCCCACAACATCGGTTGATTTCCAACCAACGCACACCCTACCAACTACCTGAGCATAGACATCTCCGAGCCTGACTCCTAACACTGCCCCCAGATGATTGGCGAGGCTGCCTTACATAAGGCTGGTACGAAGAGTTTTGCTCCACCACTGCTAGCGCGAATTGCGTGATCGCACGTCTTCACCCCCAGCTGTGGCACTTTGCGGAGATGGTTACAAAGCGGTTTCCGATGGCGGAGCTGAATATAATTCTCCAGCCCTGCTTGCCTTCCTTCCTCCAACATCCAGAACGCGACGCTTGGTAACAGGATTTTCTTTTGGGAAGCCTTTGTTAGATACCAATTCATAAAAACTATCCACTTCTGGCTTCTCTGCACGTGCCCCTATCGTTAGAATCCCGCCACACGTCGTCTTCAAAATGTCGTCACCAGTCTTCAGCAACGTCGAAACGTACAAGCCAGCCACATTCCGTGAGGAGTCTGGCTATGCTTCAGCCGAGTCGAGCCAGGATGGCCTGCAAGAGATCTTCTTCACTAGACCTCATTTGAAGTTCATCAATGCTCAGCTGGCTAAGCTCGAGCCTCAGGGTGAGTGACGGTCTTCCATCTCTTCTTAGTTCGTCTGGCTAACATTGGGTTAGACATCCTGCGATGGTGCATTACATCTCTTCCTGGGCTTTTCCAGACTACTGCTTTTGGTCTCACTGGCTTGGTCACTGTGGACATGCTCTCAAAGCTCGATGGACCCCTGAAGCACAACATTGATCTGATTTTCTTGGATACTCTTTACCATTTCGATGAAACATACGCTCTGGTTGACCGTGTACGAAGGCGATATGGAACGCCGGTCCATGTCTACAAGCCTGCTGGTTGTGACAACGTAAACGACTTCACTGCAAAGCACGGAGATAAACTGTGGGAGACCAACGATGAACTCTACGACTATGTCGCCAAGGTCGAGCCCGCAGAGCGTGCCTACTCTGAGCTTCAAGTCAAGGCTGTCTTGACTGGTCGTCGCCGCAGCCAGGGTGGAAAGCGTGGCGACCTGGACATTGTCGAGGTTGACGAGGCTGGACTTATCAAGATCAACCCCTTGGCCAACTGGACGTTTGCTCAAGTCAAGGAATACGTCGATGCAAACGACGTACCTTACAACGAACTTCTCAACAAGGGTTACAAGAGTGTTGGTGACTGGCACTCAACACAACCTGTTGCTGCTGGAGAGGACGAGCGATCAGGAAGGTGGAAGGGCAAGAACAAGTCTGAGTGCGGTATCCACAACCCCAAATCACGATATGCTCAGTTTCTTCAAGAGCAGGAGATGAAGCGACAGAACGAGGATCTTGCCAACAAGCTGCAACAGGTCTCGTTGGCAGTTTAATGTTTCGGTCCAGAGCGTTCGTATTTTCCTTTGTTGTACAAATCTACATTAGCATGGGCGTTTGGGTTTTCTGGGTTTGGCATACCTAGCATAGTGGTAGTAAAGTTTGGCTGGGGTAGTCTGGAACACCCCGACTTTTACGGCATCCAGATCCGATTGCATGCAATTGGAGCCGAGATATGACCGGTGTAGGAGCCGAAAGAGCCCTTTTACGAATCAGACGAGTTCATATTTATGATTACTACACTGCCACTATTTGACTATGATACATGTAGAGAAGTGGCTTGAAAAAAGAGCGTGGGGGGAATACGGATGCTGCATATCAGTGGACCCTGCGACCCTCTGCCCCAGGTGCGCGCGGCCTGTCATTCTCGTAGAGCGACATGCCCGAAGTTGAGACTGAAGCTACGCGGGCCCTCTTTGGCTCCGCTCCCACGTCACTCCCATTACTTTGCGCAGTGGGAACAGTCAGTGTGATAGGCTCATACATCGCGCGAAATTGCGCAATCGGTTCCAAAATCTGCCGACCCATACAAAACACCCGCTTTGAAGCCTAGTCTCTGCAGCAGAGAATTTCCAAGAGAGGCCAAGGTCAACAAACCGACAGCGTGGAGCCTGAAGTAGCCGTGGTTTGTAGAATAAAAAGCTCATGGTGCCCGTCGCCGCTTTCTGCTCCTCAGTCACGCAATCGTTCTTTTGAGTGACCCCAGAGTCCCAAGATAATAGTAACCTTTTGGTTCGACATAGTCAGGAACACCTCCAGATCTTGTCGCATTACTATCCCACAAATTTCTGCCTCAGGACTTATTCCTTTCCCCTCACACATCTCTTGCAGAAATGGCAAACACACCTCATGGTTAGTCGCTGCGCAGTTTTATCTGCTGGCCAAAAAGTTGCAATAGTCGCTGACCAGGCGCGTCCACTACAGGCGGCGTCCTCAAGGACCTGATCGCGCGCGATGCGCCCAGGCGCAAGGAGCTCTTCGAAGAGGCCGAGAAGCTTCCCGCAGTCGTTCTGACCGAGAGGCAGCTTTGCGACTTGGAACTTATCCTGAACGGAGGTTTTTCTCCATTGGAGGGTAAGTCGTCCCTGTTTCGCGGGGCAATCTACGAGGGGCATGCCACATTGCCCCTCGTGTTTGCCCTGTTTGCACCACCAGCACGAAACGGTACCTGACAGCGTAATGCAGGTTTCATGAACCAAAAGGACTACGATGGCGTCGTGGCCAACAACCGTCTCGCTGACGGTAACCTCTTCTCCATCCCCATCTGCCTCGATGTTTCAAAGGAGACTATCGATGAGGTCGGCCTCAAGCAGGGCGCCCGCATTGCCCTCCGCGATTTCCGTGACGACCGCAACCTCGCCATCCTGACGGTTGACGATGTATACCAGCCAGATAAGGAGAAGGAGGCCAGGGAGGTTTTCGACAAGGACAACGATGTAGCCCACCCCGCCATCAAGTACCTCTACGAGACAGTCAAGGAGTACTATGTCGGTGGTAAGGTCGAGGCTATCGACCGCCTGGAGCATTACGACTATGTCGGTCTCCGCTACACACCCGCAGAGCTGCGTCTGCACTTTGACAAGCTTGGATGGTCCAAGGTCGTTGCTTTCCAGACCAGGAATCCCATGCACCGCGCTCACCGTGAGCTCACTGTCCGCGCTGCTCGTGCCCGCCAGGCCAATGTCCTCATCCACCCTGTCGTTGGTCTGACCAAGCCTGGTGACATTGACCACTTCACCCGTGTCCGTGTCTACCAGGCGCTGATGCCCCGCTACCCTAATGGCATGGCCGTACTTGCTCTTCTGCCCCTCGCTATGCGTATGGCTGGTCCCCGTGAGGCTATCTGGCACGCCATTATCCGCAAGAACCACGGTGCCACCCACTTCATTGTTGGTCGTGACCACGCTGGCCCGGGCAAGAACTCCAAGGGCGTTGATTTCTACGGCCCATACGATGCCCAGGACGCTGTCGAGAAGTACAGGGACGAGCTCGGTATCGAGGTTGTTCCTTTCCTCCAGATGACATATCTCCCTGACTCGGATGAGTACAAGCCCAAGAACGAGGTTGACCAGGGTGTCAAGACTCTTGACATTTCTGGAACTGGTACGTCCTCATAATGTTTGTAACGAAATGCAAACGACTAACTGAATGCACAGAACTCCGCAAGCGTCTCCGAACCGGCCAGGAGATTCCCGAGTGGTTCTCCTACCCAGAGGTTGTCCGCGTACTCCGCGAGTCTCACCCTCCCCGTAGCCAACAAGGTTTCACCGTCTTCCTGACAGGCTACCAAAACTCCGGCAAGGACGCCATTGCCCGCGCCCTTAACGTAACTCTCAACCAACAAGGTGGCCGCTCCGTCTCCCTCCTCCTCGGCGAAACCATCCGCAGCGAGCTCTCCAGCGAACTCGGCTTCAGCCGCTCCGACCGCGACAAGAACATCGCCCGCATCGCTTTCGTCGCTTCCGAGCTCACCAAGGCCGGTGCCGCTGCTATCGTTGCCCCCATTGCTCCTTTTGAGGCTTCAAGACAGGCGGCCCGCCAGACAGTCGAGAAGTACGGCTCTTTCTACCTCATCCATGTTGCCACACCCCTTGAGCACGCCGAGAAGAACGACAAGCGCGGTATCTATGCCAAGGCACGCGCGGGTGAGATCAAGGGTTTCACTGGTGTCGACGACCCGTATGAGGTCCCTTCTAAGCCCGACCTTACTGTCGATCTATCAGTCAGCAACGTCAGGACAGCAGTGCACCAGATTGTGCTGTTGTTGGAGAGCGAGGGTCTCTTGACTCAGCTGTAAGAAGGGACTGAGCGAAAAAAAAAAGTATAAAAGGGGGGGATCTTTTTCTGTTTTTTTGTGTTTTTTTTTGGTTTGGAAACATATGAGCGATGATGAGTCCAATTTCCAACAGACTATTTTAACGACTTTTTTGTTATGAGCTTTGGGACCCCTGTTTTGAGGGGTTCTTGGATGCGTAGATTAGACGCATGAAGATGGGATGGATATACTAGACTTGAGGTTTAGAATTTTTTTTATCAATACTGGAATTGATTTCATGCCAAGGATGATTGTGTTTTGAACGTGCTGCTTGAAATATTATTATTTTCCCCTCAAATCTATTCTTCTCTCTTTAATCTTAAATATAGTTACGGTGTGATATATACATTCATCCCACCTTCACAGAGCACGAGCCATGCTCTCCTTCGCCTCCTTCGCCCTCTTCCTCTTCTCCCTCTCCGCCCTGCGCATAGCCCTCAAATCCGGGGGCTTCTCAATCCCTAGCCTCGTCCTCAACTCATCAATATCCGTCTCCAGCTCCTCCTCCCAATAAACATTAATCACATCCCCACTCAACGCACCGTTTCTCGCCGCCCACGGCCCATACACATCCCAGAAGCGGCGCCACTCGGCCTTCTTGAGCGTAAACGCACTAAACACCGCGAGTCCCGTCATCGGCAGACCCGTATTCGCGAATTCAAACGCTTTAAGCGCTACTTCGCCCTCGCGGAAGACAGGGAGGCCGACAAGCGCGTGGTAGAAATCGTGGCACTCGCGGTACCGCTGCATGACGTATGCGCATTCCTCGTCGTCGATGTATTGTACCGGCGCTCGTGTGTCCGGTGAGACGCCCTCGCGGTCCAGCCACGCGGCATACGCATAACCCAGTGTATTTTGCGGCAGCTTCCGCAGCCGCGGTATATCGAGAGATGTGGAGGTTAAACGTGGTCGATCGCGGAGAATGCGGCGCCCCGTGGGGTGCAGTAGCATGCGATCGCGCAGTTTGTAAATGAAGTAGGGTTGGGCTGTTGCTTCGCCGAAGGAGGCGATGAGATCTGAGAGTTTTTTCTTGGTAAGTTAGTGAGACAAGGGGAAGGTAGATTGAGAACACGCACCTCCTCGTCGTGGATCGAGAAAACTGCCGATTCCGGAGCCGAGGGCGAGACCGAGGCGCTCGAGGCGTGTCAATGGGATGTGGCCCTCGTAGTTTGGTGGTGGGCGGTTGAGGACGGAGAAGGGGCGGAGCGATTGGACATGTTGGGATGAGGGTTGAGGGATTGATCGCGCGGTCAGCTTGGGGAGCTGCTGTATTCGTACATGTCGAGCCATTGGGACGTTGCCGGTTTAATGGCAATGGCTGTAGGTTTGGAGCTTTGGATGTTCAGAGGTATGGTATGACATGATGTAGGATCTTATCGATAACGTGCGCCACAGGAACTAGCCACACCAATCACGCTATTTATGACTTCTTTGCGACTCATCGGTGCTTGAACAGACTTCTGCAGCAAACGTTCTTTTTTCACCTGGGCTGGCTTGAAAGACTGGTTATTGTCTACTCAAAGATCAGTTTGATCAACTTCTCTTCATTTTTGCTCAACAATACCAGAGACGTAACATACCTTTTTTTCCCGAAGGCAGACAAAGAAAGAACTTCAGTGACATAAGTGACTGGAGAGATTGTTTGTCAGACTGGTGCTCTCCAAAAAGGTGGTCTTAGAAGAAACAAGAGAACACATTCCCTATAAATCATGGCGGCAGCTCTGGACCCAGGCACCAATCATACAGACTTTGTCTCATGGGCAAAATCTAACGGCGTTGAAATCAATGGTATTGCTCCAGCCCGTTTCGTAGGTCGAGGAATGGGCATCGTAGCCGCTCAAGACATCAAAGTCCGTCCTCCACATCTTCTTTCCCCCTACAACATCAGCCAATGCTAAATCATCAAGAAAGGAGACAAGCTAGTCCATGTATCCAACAAATCTCTAGTCCACGTCGCCCTCCCCAGCATCCACAGTCTCAAACTGCCAGACACCATCACCGTGCACGGAAAACTTGCTCTCGCCCTCGCCCTCTGGTACACCGGCCGTAAAGACCATGACTACACCCTCTGGCAAAACGTATGGCCCACATCCTCAGATTTTAAAGCCACAATGCCATTCTACTACCCTTCCTCACTACAATCCCTCCTACCCCCCGCAGCCCGCACCCTCCTAACCAAACAGCTCCAAAACCTCGAGCGAGACTGGACCAGCATCGCACCGCACAACCCGGGTATCACCAAAGAAACCTACACCTACACCTGGCTCATCGTCAACACCAGAACCTTCTACTGGTCCTACCCGGACCTCCCCAACGCCTCCCCGCTCCTCCCCAAACGCCGCGCAAAACTCACGGCGGATGACTGCTACTGCATGTGCCCTTTTACCGACTACTTCAACCACTCCGATTCAGGCTGCGACCCCCAGATGTCACCGAGCGGCTACACAGTAACAGCCGATCGCGCGTACGCGGCTGGCGAAGAAGTCTTCGTAACCTACGGCCCGCACACGAACGATTTCTTACTCACTGAGTACGGATTTATTCTTCAAGAGAAGAATCGACATGATGGTGTTCCCCTTGATTTACTGCTACTGCCGCTGCTGGATGGAGATCAAGTTGCTGCGTTAAAGGAAGATGGGTTCTACGCCAACTACACTCTGTTTGGAGAGGAAAAAGAGGAGAGGGTGTGTTATCGGACGCAGGCTGTGCTGAGACTGCTTGTGCTGGATGCGAAGAGGTATGCGGCGTTTGTTAGTGGGGATGATGATGGGGCGAGGGATCAGGCGAGGTTGAATGAGTATTTGGCGCGTATGCTGACAAAGTACTCGCGCAAGATTGTGGATATTATTGAGGAGGTTGAAGGGCTTGATCTCAACGGGGGCGCCGAGCAGGCTGAAGAAGGGGTTGTAGAGGACCAGAGAGAGACGCTCATTAAGCGGTGGAAGCAGATACGAGATATTGTCAATAGCGGGATTCGATTTCTCGAATCATAGTGCTCCTTCACACTTTACGTAAACAATCGAAAGCTAGATCATAGAACATTACCCTCCAGAAGATATGTTTGAAAGAGTCGTCTGTTTCATAATAATCTGTTATGCAAACTAAAAACGTCTACTAGATAGCCCTGATTGACCTTTTACGCTTTCAATACGCGAAACTAAAACACTCGTAGAGCAATAGCTCACGCTACACTACCCACAACCAGTGCCGCAACACCCTCCTCCTCACTTCTTACATCAATCTTCATCGTCACACCAGTCTTTGCGCTAAACGCCATTCGTACCGTGGCTGCCACCTTGCCACCTGTGATGGTCTTGCCGTACAGTTTGAGCGTATGTGTTGATGTTGAGAGGGCAACATCGGTGCCTTCCAATGGCTGGAGGGACAGCGTCTTGGTGAGTTGTTCAGTAGCGTCTGCTCTTTGTTAGTAAAGTGATGTGTTGAGAAATACATAGAAAACATACCTGCTATGCTCTTCATGTTGTCAAGCTGCAGAGTCTCGGTTGCTGTATCATTGTTCGACTGCTCCCATACATTGTCAAAGCTGCCAGCATACGCCGGTACAACGTAGTCGGCGCCGGTGAGGTAGAGATCTTCGACCGAGTATTCATCGGGGTAACCCTCACCCTCTTCTGGCTCGTTCGTGCTTGGATCGATCTCCTTGCTTGTGAACTTGAGTACGTTGGTGAAGCTTGCCGCAATGAATTGTGACTCAGTCTCGAGACGTTTGAACGATACGTAAACGGTTCCTGGCTCGTTTGTGGAAAGCTTTGGTGCTGGGATGACAAACTCCTCCTCTAGTTGAACATCGCCGTCGTCTTCGGGAGTGACAACCATCTCAACATCCAACAAGACTGTGTCTTCGAGGGTGTTCTTGATGTCGTACTGGATGACAACATGGTCCTTGAAGATATGCTTGATGGCCGTGACGACGTATTCGGTCTCTGATTCGGTGAGCTCGACAACATCGCTTGACTTGAGCACGCCTCCATGAGCCGCGAGTTCGGGAATCTTCTGCAGCTCGGCAGCGTACTTTTGCGCATTGTTGGCTGCATTCGCGGCAGCGTCTGCTCCTGCTTTTGACGGTTGCTTCGCAGCGCTGGGTGCCTTGAGTGTTGGGGTAGCACCTTCGGTCTTCTTGGTAAGATCTGCAGCATCTGCTTGCTCACGCGAAACGGTGGGGATCTTGGTGATGTCGAAGGCAGTCTCAAAGGTATCGCGGGAATCTGAGCTAACGTACATGGCCAGCTGGTGCTCGAGAACTGGTAGTGAGAACATGGAGTCGTTGCGAATGAAGCTAATGGCCATGTCGTCGTCCTCCTGGTCCATCAACCGGAGGTTCAACGCAGCACGATCTCGGACCTCATCATCAACATCGTCAAGGCAGCGAGTGAGCAGAACGTGGACCGACTTCTTGATCTCGGGGTCCTTTTGACCAACACCAAACTTGGCGAGAGCAGAAGTTGCAGCGGCTCTGACAATAGCGTTCTCCAAAACAACGCGGTTGTAGATGTAGCGGATGTACTTAGTAGGGTGCGGTGTCGAGGGGCCTTCGCGTCCGAGAACAAACAGGATCCGCACGGCGAGCTTGGTAAATTCGCAGTCCTCGATGAACTCGCAGAGAGTCGCAAGCGCATCCTCTTTGGCCTCTGGAACGAATCGAATAAGATCCATAATTGCCTCTACAACTGCTCTCTTGAACTCGTAACCGCCTTCGTCACGCAGGATGCCGCTGAGAAAAGCTAGGAATCCAGACTGCTTGGATTTGAACTTCAAAGCCAAAGTTCGGACAGCCTCGACAATCGTCACCTTGAACTCGTCTGTAATCTCAGCCATGAAGCCCGTGATTTGCTTCATCAGCCTATCTACTGACGATTCGTTGCCCGTCTTAAGGAGCGTTGTGATGGCAAAAGTTGCGATGCTGCGGTTCGAATTGGTGATGAGCGACTCAATATCTTGGTTGCATGACCGGACGGCGTCGG